GTGGTTTTGAACTCTATATCCAGTCGTTTGCTGTCCTCCATTTCTGTCATTTGTGACCTGTTTCTTTGTCTTCGCATTTTGTCTGCTTCCCTGTGTTGGTAGAGTGGTTTTGTGTGCTAGGTGTCCTACAGGGCCCAGTGGCTCAGCCTCCCCAGTTACCTGAGGTGGACACTCTTGGTGCACCCCCTTGTGGGCTTTGTGCACAGTCTTGTTGTAGTTATGCCTTGATTGTTTTAGGTGTCACTGGGAGGAATTGACCTCCAGGCCAATTGGCAGTGAGAATCAGCTGTGTCTGCAGTGGGAGAACTTCTGTGCTGAAGACACCCTTCTGGGGCAAGACTTGCTTCAGTGGGGCTTTGGTGCTCACTGAGTCTGCCCCCTGAGTGTGTTCCTTATGAATCTGAGGAGTTGTAATCTGGGTGGTCCCACTCTGACCACTGGGTACACTGGCTCTTGGATCTAAGGAGGTGCTAATTAAGCCTCTTCCTGAGGTTACCCAGCAGGAGCTATGAAGAGATATGCAGATTCCCCTTCCTTTTTTGGGGGTTTGGGGGTGCCCAGATGAGGCCCAGCTGAGAAGCAATGCAAGCTGCTGTGGGGCCTTGGGCCTTCTCTTGAAGTTCTGGGTCTGTCTGGTCCAGCTGCAATTTGTTAGGTAGTTGTCAGGTTGGAAAGGACCCGGGCATTCATATGCAAAAGGCTTTGCAGCAGCCTGGATGGGGCGGGGTCTCAGAATCAACAGGGCGGAGCAAGCAGCTATGGCTGATTCTCAGCCCTGCCCTAAGGGGCCGAGTGTCTCAGTGTCCCGGTAATTGCTGCCAGCACCTCTGAGGGAAAGCCGCCCTCAAGTTCCGAGTTCTGCCTGCTGCCAGACAGTCCAGTTTCTCCCTGTATGAGCCCTGGGACCCCAGAGATTTCCGGAACCGGAGTTCAGAGCAGTCGGGAGCTTGTGACTCCCTCCCGATTCAAAAAGACAGAATTTCCACGCGCGCCGGAGTCTCCGTACCTCTGCACTTTACTTCTTCTCAATTAAAAGAGCAGCACATCCAGGTGCCAGCACTTTCCGCACCTCCCCACCTCTTACCAGTCTCAATGCGCCTTCTTCACCTCTCTAGTTGTGGAACTTCCACTCATCCAGCTTTCCCACGGTTCTGGGTGGTAGTTGTTCTGCCTTTGTAATTTTGATGTGGTTGTGGGAGGCAGCAAGTATAGATGTTTACCTATGCCGCCACCTTGGTTCTCCCCATGGCTATTTTTTTAGAGAGTAGAAGGAGGGGGAGAGACAGAGAAACACATCCATTGGTTGCCTCCCACACCCGGCCCAACCAAAGCAGGAATGGTGCCCTTGGCAGGAATGGAACCAGCGACCCTTCAGTCCCAGGGCCGACGCTCTAACCACTGAGCAGCAGCTAGACTTTTATCTGTGACCTGTTGCTTGCCTCATATCCCAACACCATTTATTATAGAATGCACATTTTTTCTATTCACCTGAGGAGACATGTTTATCATATGAAACTTACTTTGTATTTGGGTTTATTACTACACCTTCTCTTCTGTTCCATTAATGTGTCTATTTGGCCTGGCGGTGTAGCTCAGTGGAGTGTTGACCTAGGAACCAGAAGGTCACGGTTTGATTCCCGGTCAGGGCACATGCTGTGGGCTTGATTCCCAGTGTGGGGCGTGCAGGAGGCAGCCAGTCAGTGAGTCTTCTCATTGATGTTCCTATATTTCTATTCTTCTCCCTAAAAATCAGTAAAAACTTTTTTAAAAGGTGTGTTTGGGAGTCGTGCACTCCTGAACCTGTCTGGAGGAGGCGATCACGAAAAGGGGTCCAACTGGAACCAGGAGGACGCTCCCCAGGAAACTGGTCCTGAGGAAGTGCTGACTTGGAAACAGCGGGAGAAAGTGCTCACAGACTGCAGCTGCCGCTGTGCACCCCACCCCAGGCGTCCCCTCTGGTTCTCAAACACTCGCTGGCACTCGACCCTGATCTCAAGCTCCCCCTCTACCCCCCACACTGCCTGCACCAGGACGGAGTCATCGCATCCGGGTCTCTCCTCGCCCGTTTCCCCAGGTGCCAGCTGCCCATTAGATGCCGGGCTGGAGTCGGGACACCTAATTCATCTCAAGGTCTCTACTGGCCCCTCATGTTCCCTGGCCCCTTTCCTCATGTCCTCTTTCCCATCACATCCTGGTGAAGGCAGGGTGGAAAATTCAGCTCCAGATCGTTCTCCTTTTGTCAGGCAACTGCTGTAACCACACAGCTGGCGAGAGCCAAGATACAGAATTCTGCTCAAGGTCTTTCCTGGCCACGTACCCAACAACCACTGTGCTCTTCACAGCGGGTTGAAGCACGGAGGGAGAATGTGCCTGCAGGTCTCTCCTTGCCCATTGACTCATGACCCCGTCAAAAGGTGTTGTGTGGAAAGATAAGTAATTTGCCTCCAGTTCTCTCCTCACCTCTTAGCCAAACACCTGCTCTGCCCCTCACATACTGGTCTCAAGGCAGAATGGAAATGTGGCCCCAGGCCTACCACATCCTTCCCCAGACACCCCTCATCTCCTTCATAGCTGGTTGGAGCCAGGATAGAAAATCTGCCTCCAGCTCTCTCCTCATCCCTTACCCCAGGACTCCCCATGCAACTCACATTGCAGACGACAGATATATGGATGGATGCTAAGAATACAGATCCCTATTATTAAGGGCTCCTGAAGGATAACTGAGCTCAAATTTATAATAATAACAATAATAGAAAAATAAAAAAGCAAACCAGAGCCTCATGTTCATTTCCACACAGGAGTTTCTAATATAAACCTCAATTCAGAGGGAGTGGCCTGCAAAGTCCCTCCCACATTGAACTGACTGATAAGACACGTGGACTGAACGAAGGAGAGACGGCAGGACCAGACTAGAACACACAACTGGCGCAGACTGGAGCTGAGCCCTGTGGCCTGAAGGGAACTCACTCGGGGCAGCCTGACCCCAGGGCCTCCCACAGCCACAATGCTTCACACTTAAGCAGCACAGCAGACCTGCTCCCACAGCAGGGCCACTTCATGCTGCTCCTGTAGCAACACTGAGCTGCTCAACAGCCCTCCGTCACCCCAGATGGTGAGCTCTCCCAGCTGCTAGTGTCCTCGTGGAGTTTACACCTCAGAGGCCACTGGCCAGTCTCACTAGTGAAGATGCTCTAATAGGAGTGAGATCAGTTAAGGCCTCCTTTGCACGTAAACTCTTTTGAAATGTGTAAGACACATCAACAAGAATGCAAATAAAAAGTCACACACTTGGTTCCTTTAAGCATATTTAATATTTGAACTCTCATTTTTTATTTTCCCAGACCCCAGAAAAGAGAAAGTTTTTAGCTGACCAATATTTTGTTCCAGAAACATACAGCCTTATCAGCTAATTCATAAAAGAGCTATTTTACAAAGGTACATCTGGATAATTAGAATAAAGTCTTTTAGGTATTTCAAAATATGAGTAAAAATACATGATTATTAATAGAGTTTTCTGAAGACAGTTGCCGTTTTTATAGAGTGATTTCTAGGAAAGAGCCCAAGACTGTTGGTGAACGAGTGAAGAAAGGGTTCTGGCAGAAGAGGCGTGTTAACCACAGCCCAGTGTGCACATCCCAGGGGTCTTTGCAGCCCATCCTCCTAGGAGGTCCATTTCCCAACCAGCTCATTATCAAAACCATCAGGACCAGTGGGGAAGGCATAAGGAATGAAGAAAAGGAACTCTTTTCTTGAACAACTTTGCAGGACATTTTGAAAAGGTAGAAAAATCAGAAAAAAAAACACAAAACAAAAATTGTAATATTAGGAGGACAAAGGCCCTGCTCATGGTCTGTCCTGAGGGCCTTTGCACTGGGTTCTCAATGGCGCCTTCAGTGCCTCCAGGGAGGAAATATCGGCCAGAGCCCTAGGAGTTCCAGTGACACTCCCCATGGCTGCAGAGGAAGCGCTTCCGGCTGGGAGTGCGAAGCCCCACGCAGCACGCCCACCTCAGGACGCCAAAAAGGAAAAGGGGGCCAATGAAAGGAAACTCGGAGAACATACTTTAGCTTCTGAAAGTAAGAAAAAAGACTCTTCTCCTCCACGGTCACATCAGTCCCCCCCTCCTCCACAATAAAAGCGTGTTCCCCTCTGTGCCCAAACTGTATTTATTATACTGCATGGCAAGTACATTTCATAACACTTTTTCCTAAAAGTGCCCGGCTAGTGTGGCTCAGTGGCTGAGGGTTGACTCATGTACCAGGAGTCAAGGTTTGATTTCTATTTTATAAATAGAAATCACATGCCCGGGTTGCAGGCTCGATCCCCAGTAGGGGGCGTGCAGGAGGCAGCTGATCAATGTTTCTCATTGATGTTTCTTTCTCTCTCTCTCCCCCTCTCCTTTCCTCTTTAAAAATCAGTAATTGTTTTTTAAAAGCCCAAAAAAGTTGTGAAATGTACCTCCCGTGCAGTATAATAAATAATTACAGTAGATTCGAAAAGCCAAGAAAGCTCAAGCAGCTGGGGAGCTGATATCAAGGAAGGTACAAGCTGTCGCTTCTCAGGCAGTGATCAGCACTTTAAATTAGAGGCCCGAGAGCCCAGTGATTTGTCTGGATTAACTGTCCTCTCTCTGTTCCTACTTCATGAGGCCTCAGGAGAGAGCACAGGCCCACAGGCGGCTCCCACAGCCAGCCAGCTCCCCTGGTCTGGGAAAGTGCTCTGTCCACTACGTCTGGATTCCTCGGTGTGGAAGTGGATTCCAGCTTCTGGTCTCCTGAGAAAATGACTTTGATGGTAACTGAACCATTTCCACTCAAGGGCAGGATGAATTCCATCATCCTGAAAGGCAGATCGAATATCAAAGTAAAACAGATGTGACGATAATGGTCAGTGTAAGTGGGAGGTGTGGGAGGCCAGGCGAGGGAGGAGGAGGAGGAAGTTCAGCTGGGAAGACAGAAAGAACACTCAAAACGGTGGGATCTCTTCAAAATTAGACTTCAGTTTGGGGCTGTGTTTGACAATCTAGACACACATGGATCTGGCAGTACTAGAGCTGTGGTCACAGTATTGTCCCAGTCAGCCCTGTTACTGTTCCAAGGAGAGGTTAAACTGCCGGAAAAGAAAAGCAAACAGTTGCCAAGGACAAGGTATTGGCTGAGCTAGAGGAGAAACCACGATGCTGCTAATCTGCTGACCTAGCCAGCGCCTCCGGTGAGCGCCAGGGACGCTGCAGGTCCCGCAGGCCTGCAGGTGGGATGCGAGCTCTCTCAGTGCCTTTCTCCGGATGCCCTGCCCACTGATGGTCTGAGGGCCACGGCCAGAGGGGAACCCCTAGCTGAGTGAGCGCATTATTCCCAGCAGCACCATGTGACCATCTAGTTGCTACCTGCTTCTTTTAAGAGATCAGAAGGTTCAAGTTCCACTTATATATTAGCTTCTGCTCCTAAAATTTAAATCCCACTCTAATTTAATTTATACTTGGTCTACGACCCAAAATATAATTATAATTTATAAACGAGGGTACAGCAATACAAGCTGTTCAGTTTACTAAAAACAGAGGTCAGTTTTGAAAAGGCAGACACAGGAACCTGGACATCGATGAACGTGCTGTAAGCTGTCATGCTGTTTATGACAGTAGCTGGGAAACCTCCTGTGCATGATGAGTTTGTGTGTGTGTGTGTGTGTGTGTGTGTGTGTGTGTGTTTGAGTGTGTGTGTGAGAGAGTGTGTGTGTGTTTGAGTGTGTGTGAGTGTGTGCAATGAGTGTGTGTGTGATGAGTATGTGTGTGAGTGTGTGTGTGTAACTAGACAGCAGGGAAGAAGATCACAGCCGGACCCTCCAGTGTCAGAGGGCACTGCTGAAGGACGAGAGCAGTGGGTGAACTCCTTGCATATTAACACAATTTTAAGATTTGACAAACGATTTCCTTTTAGTTGGCAAAACTACTCCAAAACATATATACCTGATGCACAAAGAAAATCACAGAAAACAATATAACTGAAGGTGCTCTCGAGCCACTACTCTGACCTCTGTCCTCTGTGGGGTGCTGCCAACACGGCTGGCCATCCTGGGGCAGGCGTTCCCCCACTCGCCGGCAGGTCCAGTGCGTCTGTGAGGCAGGCAGGCAGGCACCAGCAGGGAGAAGCGCCAGCAGGGAGCTGGTCCAGGCAGCTCTGCCTTCTCCACCCTTTCTCCACTCACTCTTGGCTCTCCTTTTTACTTGAGCCCTTTGGCACCATCCGTGCAAACATCAGAGTCAAACCTCCAGGTACGAAAATGTTACTGACCACAGGAGCAGCAGTACCTGTGCCGAGTGGCAGCCACTTCAACTCAGGAGTGACTCAGTTGCAGACCTTCCCAAACTCCTTCGGCTGCTGCCATCCCGCCCTCCTCGGAACCCCACCCCTGCCATCTGAGGCACCTCCACTTGTTTTTGCTTTTACTTCCTGCTCATCTGCAGGAACAACTGTACACACGTGCTGTAGTCCAATGTATAATTATAAAGATGAAGCAATATTAAGAAAAACAAATTTATAGTCAAGAAAATAAAATTTGCTTTCCTTTCCCGCCCAAATCCCAACCCTCAATGGAAAAGAAAACCACAGAAGAAAACACACCCATTCCCAGTGGCTGCTTGTAGCACAGGAGGCTCTGGTTCAGTTATCCCAGCGGGAGCGCAGTGCTGGCCTCGGAGGGGAGGGGGCCCTGCGCTCTGCCCCCCTGGGGAGCACAGGAGCACAGGCCCGGCTCTGCCTTGAGGTTAGGTGGGAGCAGCCACTGGGCAGCAGAGGCTAGACACAGTGGAAGGCTGGGTGCTCCTCCCCCGGCTGCTCTCTTTCCACCCAACCTCCTGCCACCCCTCCTGAGCTCTCTGCTTCAGGAGCCACTGGTCTTTGGTGAACTAAATATAAAGGGACAAAAGTCTCACTACATAATTAAAACACAGCAAGATAGAAATTAAAATGTGCTTTCAAATGTGGAATGAAGTCAAATAAATACATCTGATTTTCTCATTTTCTTAGGTCTAAATAAAATTTCATACCCGACACCCAGAGCTCTCTGCATTTGGTTTTTGTTCTGAATCAAAATGAGTTTCTGGTCGTGAGGCGTGCAGAGTGCGGAGCGGAGGTTCCCTCGCGGACAGCAGGGCAGCTGCCAACTGGGAAGGACAGTCCTGCTCTGGGCTTGAACAGGCCAGTGCCGAAGCTTCCCAGGCAGACCCTCTGTCACTCTCTCTCCCTCCACACCGGGGCCAGGATGTGCCGATGCTCAAACTCCAACCACCTCCAGGACGTGCAGCTCTAGCTTTTATCTGGAAGAATAAGGACATCGGGGATCAAAGTAAGAAGAAAGGACACAGGACACCTGGGGAACACTGTGAACTCCGCGGGCCCAGCTCTGTCTCTGTTTCTGGACCAGGACAGCCTCATCCAAGAGCCAATGACCGTAAACTGCTGTGCTGAGCTCAGCACCACCTGCAACCACAGAGACAAAGAGCAGCGAGACCAAGAGGACCAGGCCTGGGTCAGGAGCTACAGCGCAGGCAGCCCCAGGGCACAGGGTCAGCAGCCCCTCTACTCTGCCTCCCGCTGTGCAAAGGGGAGATGGGGTGATTTTTGATGTTTGAAAACATTTTTAAATATTTATTTATTTAATTTGTTTGTTTTTGCAAACAGTTTTTTAAAGACAAAGAAGAAAAGGAATCTCCTGAGGTTTCTATTTTAAAGAGTAAGAAATCATTTCATGTATTTGTTCAGGCAGAATTCCAGAGTCTGGAATCTACCACTTTCACGTACCTGAGTGTTTGTCTGTGAGGGCTGACCCAGCCAGCCTTTGGCAAAGAATGGTATAACTTTCCTCCACCTTCTGTAAAATATAAGCATAGGTTTTTCATTGGAACGTCATAAAAAATTATTTTTGAAAAGAAAAATGTTTTTCAGTATTACAGGTATGCTTCCAAATTGCAACATAAACATAATTAAAATTTTGTTAGTGGAGGGAAAAAAGGAAATTTCATTCCTTTTGCCTTTTTCCGTCTTAAATGAGTGACTTAATGTTTCCCCCGTGAGAAGAAAGTAGAGAGAGCAGCTGGAAGAGGCCCTTCCCAGGGCCGCCTGGCACAGGCCGCCTGGCACAGGGACCCGAGAGCCGCCTGCACACGCCTTTCAGATGTTCCCTTCAGCAGCCCCAGGGACACTGCGTGTGAACCTGGGAAACACTGTCCCCAAAGCCTCCACTGCACGGCCAGTGGGCGCAGTGGGGCTGCAGACGGAAACGTCAATAAAGCCCTTTCTTCAGAAGCTACCCAGGCGGTCAGGCTTGACAAGGGGCCAGGACAGGGAGTGACAGCCTTACTCACAACTCACAAACCCCTCACGCGGTGTTTCACTCACAGGAGCCACTTCCATTTCCACACCAACCCCAGCACCGGGCTAACATGCCCCGGCCTCGATTCCCAGGACACCAGCCCTTCATCCTGCTATTTGTTCCACCTCCACAAGGTGGCCAGCCAGGCCCCTCAGACACATACGGGCCTGACACGTAGAAGCCTGTGCAAGCACAGCTCTCCGGCTGCAGCTTTTCCTGTCGCTGTGCTTTGTAACCAGAAAACAATGCTGACCTCTGCTTCTCATCAGGCCTTTTCATGGATGATGGTCAAAGAAAACACACATTGAAAACAACGAGTTTGCTCCCTTCTATTCCATGTGCTTCCCATCACTGAGTCCTGAGGAGGCCGAGGCCCGAGGTACCTTTAAATGCTCAAGGGCAGACTCGATCTTGCGGATGCACTCCAGGACCTGGCTCTGGGAGTCTGTGCACGCGGAGGGACTCTGGATCTCAAAGCAGGCCCCCTCCAGGGCTCCCCAGCGCTGCGGGGCCAAGGGCTCTGGGGTGAATGGTGACACGGCCCCGTCGGAAAGAGCCTTCTGGGAAGAGGGCCGCTGCTGCTGGGCAGGGTCCACGGCGGGGAGGCCCGTCCTGGGCTGCGGGGGGAGCCAGGCAGCGCCCTCCTCATCGGTGGAGCTCTCCTGCACGGCTTCATAGCCATCGAGGATCAAATAGTTTCCTATGGGCAGAGACAGAGCAGGCGGTGAGACTAGGACTGCCATCAGCACATCAGAACACGGGACTGGGTGATACGGTGATAGCTTTAAAAGCTATTCAAGACTGTGAAAGCCATTAATTCCCGAATTCCCACGTTTAAAGTACAACCTAATGTTCTCCCTTCGGGTTCCAGGGAAACTTAGCAAACTTTCATGGTACTTTCTGAGTAATTCATAGGAGTTAGCATTTGAAAAGTTAAAAGCTGAAAACTACAAAGTTCCTATATGATCTTGCCACCACCTCCCTTGCTACGTGTCCCCCCTCCTCCCGCTTCATCTCCCACCTTTGTTCTCCCTGCCCGCTACTCACTCCTCAACCCCAAGCCCGAGCTTGCTGCACAGCTGCGCCTCCTCTCTCTGAGACTCTGCTCGACATCCCAAGCTGCTTCCCGGTCTCGGCTCAGATGCAGCCTCAGCAGAGGCCTCTGCCCTGGTCCCTTGTCTGCCCCTCACTCTCTGTGACCCTTAGTCTGACTTATTTTCCGGTGAAGACTTCTTCTATCTGACTCTATTTATTTGCTTACTTATTTATCACTAGTGGCCCAGTGCACAGATTTGTGCACATTGAAAGGAAATTAATTAGAAGAAATATTTTAAGATCGCTATTTGCCCTTTCTCTATAATAGAAGTGTCAGAGATGAAAGAAAATTAGTAAAATGTGTATGAAAATATATAAATTGATTAATAAACAATATCAATATGATATAACAAAGACATGATATAAAAACAACAAAAACATGATATAAACACAAATTGATAAAAAAATGATAAATTGATTAACCTTATTCTAATATCTCCCTGTACACCGCATTAAGAGTGAAAACACTTTCAGAGTGCTTGATTAATTTCCCTTGTGATGAAGTATTTACAACTTTAACTTTAACGTCACACGCTGTTCGAACTCGAGAGAAAGAACATATAACTGACCATGTCTGAAAACGGGTTCAGATAGGAATATTCCTACTCTGTCTAGAGCAGGGGTGGGCAAACTTTTTGACTCAAGGGCCACAATGGGTTCTTAAACTGGACCGGAGGGCCGGAACAAAAGCATGGATGGAGTGTTTGTGTGAACTAATATAAATTCAAAGTAAACATCATTACATAAAAGGGTACGGTCTTTTTTTTTTTAGTTTTATTCATTTCAAACGGGCCGGATCCGGCCCGCGGGCCGTAGTTTGCCCACGGCTGGGCTAGAGTTTGTCCTGTGATTATTAATAGTCTTCGCAAACGCTGGCATCACAGGAAACCGTCGTCGAATCAATTTAAATGGGAGGCCAGTGTCAGATGGGGACAAATTCTTGGAATCAGAACAGCCTCTCTACCTGCAATCCTGTTAATACTTCAGCTTCGATAATGTTAGGTCATAACCTTTTGATAATAAATCTAGTACCATTACAAAGACCCCATTTACTATTAAGATTTCTCAGCTGCATGATGATTGCACCTACTTTCAATTTTAATTTATGACATGGCATTCCCAAAGGAGTAATACTATTAAGAAATTCGATGGGAAAATTTTCCTTTTTGGCATCATCCATTGAATGGATGGAATCATCACTCAAATAGGCGTGAAAATCGCCATCGTGTATATCCAAATTTTCTTCATTTAGTGCAGCGGTTCTCAACCTGTGGGTCGCGACCCCTTTGGCGGTCGAACGACCCTTTCACAGGGGTCGCCTAAGACCATTGTGCATATCAGATATTTACATTACAATTCATAACAGTAGCAACATTACAGTTATGAAGTAGCAACAAAAATAATTTTATGGTTGGGTCACAACATGAGGAACTATATTTAAAGGGCCAGAAGGTTGAGAACCAATGATTTAGTTTATGAACGTGCTCATTTTTAGGACAAAGAATCACACATTTAGATATATTTTAAATATTATCTTTGATATGCTATTTCCAAAGGTAGCTTCACTAATAAGTCCGTTACAAGTCATTTCATGGGGGATTTTAATAATATCTATTTCAAGAGCTTTACATGTATTGCGCATGCGAGAGTCAACATTTATTTTTAAATTGCCAGTGCGCGTCATATGTACTGGCCAGTTGGTCGGTCAGACGGACAGTCGGTTGGTCACTTAGCCTTTTATTGTTTTATTTTATTTTTTTAATATATTTTTATTGATTTCAGAGAGAAGGGAGAGGGAGAGAGAGAAACATCAATGATGAAAGGGAATCATTGATTGGCTGCCTCCTGCACACCCCCCACTGGGGATTGAGCCCGCAACCCAGGCATGTGCCCCTGACCAGAATCGAACCCAAGACCCTCCAGTCCACAGGCTGATGCTGTATCCACTGAGCCAAACAAGCAAGGGCAGCCTTTTATATACATATAGATTACTCTTCCCCCTACTAGCACCTAAGCTTCATGAGAAGAGTTGATTTTTGTTTATTCAATGCTGTATCTCCTAGCACTAGAGTAGATTCAATAATTATTTAGTGTGATAAAGAATAAATAACACACACACACAATGCTTGCAAACCCAAACACCATCTGTTTCAACACACAGGACAGTAATGGCAATCACCATCGAAGTGTACATGTGAGAGAACTTGCCTGAGATGTGTACGTTAACGTCCTTCTCTTCCTGTTTAACTGCTCCCTCACCCTCCGATGGATTATCATCATTGTGTACTTCATGGGCATCAAAAAAGTGCTCCCCACTCTCATCAAGACCGCCTTCCGGCTCTGCAGGAGGAGCCTCCAGGGGAACAGGTGTGCGGCCCGTCACCGCAACACTACCTGCCTGGCCCTCCTGCAATGCCGGGACCACGGGGTCCCGTGGAGCAGGAGAGTCCGCTGAGGCCCGTGGACTGCTGCACGTTGAAAGGCCACCTGCTCCAGCTCTCAAGGGCATCTGTCTTTGACCAGGACAGGACTTCATAATTTCAAAGTTCTGGGTTCCACTGTCTGCCTGCACCCCTGGGAAGGCCGTCCTGCATCTTGAAAAATGTGGCCAATCTTCCTGAGTGCTCTTCTCAGCCAGACTCAGCTTCTGTGCCAGCAGCTGCTTCAACAAGCCCACTGCAAGATTGGGGGGGGGGGGGGGGGCTGTGACCTCAGACTGAAACCCAAACTAAAGGAGTACCGTTAGCAAGTGTCTCTAAAAGGAAGCACCTTTTTAGTAACATGCAGTCAAAATATTAATTTCATAGAATTATTTTTATTTTCTGAAATAAAGCACCATCTACAGACAATATAATATTAAACTAGACTTGAAAAATCTAGGTATTTGTAACGGGAAGTGCTCCTACTGAGAATTGCTAAGTAACCAACTACGTCCTCTTCCATTTTTTCTTCCGTTTACTAGTAACTGGGATAAGGCCCAAAGATGCTGAGAAGCTTTGTTAAGCTAGACAACAAAAACTCTGCAAGTTCTGTTTTTCCAGAAGCAGACACTATACACATAGGCATTATTTTTCTAATTTAATTAAACACAAAGAACATTTATTTTATCATTTACTAGAGACCTGGTGCACGGATTTGTGCACCAGTGGGGTCCCTCGGCCTGGCCTGCGGAAAACGGGCTGAAACCAGCTCTCTGACATCCCCCGAGGGGTCCCGCATTACGAGAGGGTGCAGGCCAGGCTGAGGGATCCCACTGGTGCACAACGGAGCCCGGGGAGGGACTGCAGGAGGTTGGCCAGCCGGGGAGGGACTGTGGGAGGGCTTCAGGGCGTGTCTGGCCTATCTTGCCCAGTCCTGATCAGCCAGACCTTAGCAACAAGCTAACCTACTGGCTGGAGCATCTGGCCCCCCCCCGGTGGTCAGTGCACATCATAGCAACTGTTCAAACTGTCAACTGGTGGGACACTTAGCATATTAGGCTTTTATTATATAGGACTAGAGGCCCGGTGCACAAATTTGTGCATGGGTGGGGTTCAGCCGGCCCACCGAGATCAGGGCCGATTGGGCTGGGCTGGCCAGGAGGAGGGGCTGTGGGCAGTTGGCGGGCTGGCCCTGCCCCCTGGTCAAACTCCGGTTGAACTTCAGGTCGAGGGGACAATTTGCATATTACCCTTTTATTATATAGGATAATAACCTAAAGACTTTCCTTAAGTGGTGAAGAAAATAAACTTCCCTGTAAAAATATTTAATTCTAATGACTTGGCAATGTGTATAATTTCAAAAGGGAATAGTAATTAGTTTTTCTTAAATGAACTTATTCATGGCATAGCTTCCTTAAGTTGTTAAAAAAAAAGAACCAATTTAACTTTGAATAGGCAAGTGTATGCTGTAAGGCCCCTCATACAATGGCAGTTGGGACAAGGTTAGTCAAACCATCAGAAATCTTTATTGTACTTATAAATGCCTAACCACTCGGCTGTACACCTGAAATTAATATAATATTGAATTTGAAATGTAATTGAAAAAAACAATTTTTAAAAGAGAAATCATGATCAAGGTTCATTCCGGAGAATCTAGAATTAATCAGGTTTGAATAAGCGAGACCAATGCCCCCTTTCAGCTCTGTCTTAGTTTCTATCTTCTGTTCCTCGGAGGCCTAAGGCTCTGACCTTGTCTTCCTGCTTTGCATTCACTTCTAAGAGACGCTCTGAATCCCTGTGGCTGTAATGCTCACATCCACCTCCCTCCCAGCCCTTCCCAAATCCCAGCCTGAAACTGCAACCTCCTGCTTCCTCTTAATGCTTTACCATTCATTGTCTTAAGCTCAGTATGTTTTACAATTAAGCCCACAATCTCTGGCAAATTAAAAAAGGGGGGCAAGTGTGACAGTGGGCAGTGGTAGTCCTTTTTGACTTTTATATCTGATAAAAATATTAACATTATCTCTATTTCCTTTTCTTTGTCCTCACATCCAAACAAGTCAATTGCTTTAAATATTTGTTGACTCCTCAATTTATATTTATTCCTCTGACACCATTCTAGTTCTAACCCTTTAGGCTCAAGTCCACGCTACTACAATAGTCTAACAGTAAGTGTACCACTCTAAACCTCTTTCCATTAAAATCCTTTCACAGTTCTCAAATCTTTTTTCATTAGTCATAACCTTAAAGACTTCAAATGGATCTCTACAGTTAGAGTCATCATTCTCAGCCTTTCCCCCACCCCCACTACCCCTGAGAGATGTGGCACTCCCACTTGCGGCTGATCATCAGCGGCTGGCGAGGAGGGGCAGCCAAGAGTGGCAAGGCCTGCCCACACCCCTGGGTAAGTGCATGGTGTGTCTGTGTGTGGGGATGGACCTCGGCAGAGAACACTACAATTGCCACAAGCGTATTAGAAGAGTAACTTGTAGTTTGGAAAAGCCCTCTGAACACGGTGTTGTGCCATCCGTAAAGTTCAGGGGACTCAGACTAGTATTCAAGGCTCCAGCAGGTGGGCAGCACCACCATCTGCCCCTTTGCACTCCGTCTCACACAGCTCCTGTGCTTGCAGGCTCTCCCACAGGCCAGCCATCTATCCCTGCCCTCTGAACACCCTCAGTTTCCCCTCGCTGTGCTTTTGGTGTCATCATATTCTTGCTGAATAACTTCTACTCTTCTATCAGAGACTTACCCACCCTTGAAGGCTCTCATTTCCTGATGCCTCCCTGCCCTGGTCCCCCTGACCAGATCACTTTGGACGTCCCTATGTGTTTACTTAAAAAGATGGGCAATGTTTCTATTATCCTCCCAACTAGACTGTAAAATTCTACCAAGAAAAAGTCTGTTTGTACTTCTTTAGATTCTCCCTAAATGACTGCATAGTACATGACAGAGCTCTGGTACTTACTAAGAATCTGTGTGAACTTATAAATCAAACTTACAGTTCCTCAGTGCGTCCAACGCCCACCGCTCTTCCGAGACAGGCACGTATGGGTCTGGGGTTGTGATTTGGTCATTGACTCCTGCTTCCTTGACAGCTCGCTCTGCGTGCTGCGCCTGTGCAAACCGCCTCTCAGCCACAGAGAACTCGTCTGCCTCTGCTTTCCCAGAAGTGCCCAGTGGATGAGACTGAGGTTTTGATGATAGTAAGGGAGGCTCTAATCCCAAATCTCTGTCTGTTCAATGAAATAGGAAAAGTAGAACATATCTTTTAACTTTTAACATGAAGCATTCAGGAAATACTTGGGGAAAAAAATGATCACATGAACTACCGAGATTGTTAAGTCAGAGCAGTGTTTTAATGGCCCAAAGAAGGCTCATGAGCAAAGTTTGTTAAAATGAAAAACTGATGCCCGAACCTGCCTAAAACAAAAAGAGTTAAAGTTTCTGTGCATTTTAAAAAACATTTTTATTGATTTCAGAGAGGAAAGGAGAGGGAGAGAGAGAGAGAAACATCAATGATGAGAGAGAACCATTGATTGGCTGCCTCCTGCACACCCCCTACTGGGGATCAAGCCTGCAACCCAGGCATGTGCCCTGACTGGGAATCGAACCGTGACCTCCTGGTTCATAGGTCGATGTTCACCCACTGAGCCAGGTGGCCAGCGGTTTCTGTGCATTTTAATAAGCAACACGTGGACCACATTCTTCCCAGGAAACTAGCAGGTAAGTTTACCTGGACTCTGCAGGCCAGCGACTGAAACGCCATGAGGCTCCGCCTTCAATTTGGGAGGCTCACCGTCGTCATTGTCTCCTCTGTAGGAGAAAGAAGACCATTGTTAAACATCACAGGTGCCTACACACACTGCAACAAAATGCAAACATCACCCACTCCTGTTCTGACCAAAAGAAAACAAACAAACAAAGACATTCCTCAGACAGGCCCAGGCACACTCACTCGCAAGGTGGTGACTGTGGTAATGGGATTGGCTTTGTGGACGGCTCCTTCACCGACGCGGCCATCCGACAGATTAGGTCCTGCCAGCTGTGGAATTTTTATAAGAATCCCACATACAAAAGGGGAAGGAAAAAGAAAGGCCTTTAAATACACTGAGAACGCAAAAATAAAAACTACAACAAATATACCAGAAACCAAAACAAACCAACCAAACAAGAAACTGTACTTCTGACAGAGATCATATTTATGTTGACATGATCATAAATATCTATTAAGCAGAGATTATAACTGTACCTTAAAGAAAATCCTAACAATATCATGAACACACTGCCCATTAAAACACTTCCCATGACCCGTCTGCATTTTTTTCTTTAGAAAACATACTTCCAGTAGAACAGAATCAAAATAAGGGACATCAGTCTAAAAAGCAACACGTTCTTAGAAAAACTATCTAAAAGAATATAGAGGACTTGCTTATTTTTTGGTTTTCAAGGTCCTATTGCAGAAACAATGTTACGTTTGTGAAAGATTATAGTCAGGACATTGAAAACATTGGCGCACCAAGGGGTGGGAGCGTAAAGGGTAAGGGGCCCCCATGGTGAGGGAACGAGATGGACTTTGCGCAGTAAACACACAATGCGATATACAGACGATGCATCAGAGAATTACACACTTGAAACCTATATAATTTCATTAACTCATGTCACCCCAATAGATTTAATTTAAAAAGTTAGAGAAACAGCGATGTTTAATACATACACAGTCTTTTCCGAAACTGTCTGTGCCACCAGCTCATAGATTTGGGCTCCATTGTCTGACATGGAGATGACAAAAAAAGCTTTGTTATCTAGAAAAAAAAAGATAAAAATGCCTCACAGTGTGACCCACAGAGGCCATTCCTAGGCTCTGGTACTATTTTGCATCTTAGTCAGGTAAAGATTACATGTGTTCACTCTGTAAACGTGTTTACTTCATGAAAATTCACCAAGCTACACACTTAAAACTTTGTACAACAGACTGTGTGTTCTACTGTGTTTATAATATTGCTACAAAGCAAAGATTATAAACACTAGCACAGACTCCACAGGAATTCACTAGAAACAATTAGTCAAAGTGCCTAAATTTACCCTGCTATCATGGAACTAACGAGTTTTAAAAGGGATCTCATTGTCAATATCATCTTATCTAATAAAGAGGGAACGTGCAAATTGACCGTCAAACCATAACGGCCAAGATGGCTGTGCCCACAGCAGAGGCCGAGTTCCTGTAATGAGCCTTAACGAGCAATCAGCAGGGACCTGAGGCTGCATGGTGCTGTGCCAGGGCAGGGCACCTTAGGCTGCGGCCCTTGCCTGGTGGGGCTTGACAAGGGACTTCAGGCCGCACCCCCTCTGCCTGGCAGGGCTTAACGGGGGACCTCAGGCTGTGCCCCCCCGCCCACAGGGCTTGACGGGAAACCTCAAGGCGCACCCCCTGCACCAGTGCTGGGCCAGGGGACCTGTGGCTGTGCCCCCAGCCCAGTGGGGTTTGATGGGGACCTCTAGGCATGCCTCCTGCCCCACCCTGGGCTGGGGAACCTGAGGCTGTGCCCCTGCTTGGCGGGGCTTGATGGGGGAACCTCAGGCCGTGCCCCCTGGCCCAGGCCAGGGGATCTCAAGGCGCACCCCCTGGCCCAGGCTGGGGGACCTCAGGCTGCAACCCCCGCCCCAGCGCCGGGCCAGGCGACCTGAGGCCGCGCCTCCCACCTGGCAGGGCTTGACGGGGATGGGGCCAGCAGAGCCTGGATCTAGCCCAATGGGGGTGGGGCTGGCCGGGTCTGGGTCTCGCGCGATTTCGAGGTGCACGTGGGTGGGTGGGGACTTGACTCTGGTTCCCGTGGTGTGCCCCAGACTGTGACAGGAGGAAGATTTTCATATACATTTTACTAATTTTCTTTCATCTCTGACACTTCTATTATAGAGAAAAGGCAAATAGCAATATTAAAATATTTCCTCTAATTAATTTCCTTTTAATGTGCACGAATTTTGTGCACTGGGTCACTAGCTAATATATAATTTGCTAACTTAAACTGATTTCAAAAATCTAAACTACACCCATCTCTTGAGGTTTTGCCCCTTTCCCTACCAAATCAAAAAACATACCACTCAAATGAAAGCCTTTTGTCTATCAATGATTTGAACAAGGAATAAAAGACCAAACTAATATGCAGAAAATTTTCAAATGCAGAAAACTGCTCAGAGAGTCTGGGTGTCCTAATTTGGGAGTATAAACTCTTAATCCACTTTCCAAGCAGTAAATAAATATCATTTAATTTGTATAAGAATATGAAAAGAACAAAACTTTATGCCAGCTGTTCTATGTAAATAACACTAAATATCTTACACAACTTTACCATGAACCTGAAGGTTAGCAACACTCAGCAGAAATGCTCACCTGTGGCCACTTGTCGAACCAGCACTGTATTCAGCTTAATGACAGGGCTAAATGTGTGCTTGCTATCAGCTGTGGATGCCAGAATCTTACTGTGACACCGTAACACCAGCCTATCATCCTGCTTTTGTAGCAACACAAGGATGTCTTCCAGCAGCAATGTATACAGATCTAGAGATAAAAACACAGGGATGGGTGATTAGTACAGAAACTGAGACGTGTTTTATACATTTTATAAAAGTTCAACAGAGTAATTTTCTGGAAAAAAAAATGGACTCCATTACCCTGAAGTATCAGCCTGACAAAAAATCAAAAAGCAACAGTTCCTCAACACAGACAGCTGTAGCCTCATGATCCAAAAGCCCAGACTCATGCAGATGCATGGATGATGGAGACAGGACTGAATCATGACAGTTTCCTGTTTCACCCCCACACGAACAAGTAACACACTTCACAGATACAAAACCACAGAAGCACATCTCCTGTAAGTGCATGAATAACACAAAGTAGCAATGCTAACTGCTGTAACTGAAAATTGTAAATGGTTCTCTCTTCTTCTAAGAAACTTTCCTGAGATTAAAAATGGCGGCAGAGTAGGAGGATGCTGCATGGTCAAGCTCCCAGGAACAAGCTGGAATTACAACTGAAATACGAGAAGGCTTCCTGAATAATCAACGGAAAACTCACAGGAGAGAACCCTGATACCCAAGGACCGAATGTGGAGCCTGCATAGAGACTGGTAGGAGGGGCAGAGAC